GACCCAAGTTCGATCGCCGGTACCAAAAAAAAAAAAAAAAAAATGAGGTACAAAGTACTCTACAATTGAAGGGACAGAAGACCTTCCTCTTATTATGGAGTAGGAAAGGAGGCAGCAATGGAAAGAAGCCAGAATTAAAGGTAGCATTGCAACAGCCATTAACCAGCAGTACTCACAGAAGTAAAACGTAGAGAACAGAATGATTTGTTTGTATTTGGGCAATGATGTCTGAGATGATAAAGTTTAAAGCAGAATATAAAGGTTAAGGTGTTTTAAATTACTTCAGTGCAATTTGAAAAACCATTAAAGGTTCAAATTAGAAGAGCAACAGAGTCAGAGCTGCATTGTAAAATGATCCATCTGGCAAGGGTAGAGGCTCTTTTTGGGAAGGGTGCAGCACAGGGGAAACAGATTTAAAAAAAAAAAAAAAAAAGCAAGTAGCCAAGCCTGGTGGCACACACCTATAATTCCAGCACTTGGGAGGTTGAGCCAGGAGGATCACCGTGAGTTCAAGGCCAGCCTGAACTATATAGCAAGACTCAAAAAAAAAAAAGAAGTAATAAAATCCCAAACCAGGCTGTAAATGAAAAGGAAAGAACAGTTGTTAATTAAAAAAAAAAAAACAACTGCTGCATGGTCTCCTTTGAATTCATTCCTTACAAGTATTAAAAAAATACTTGCAAAAACTGCCACAGTTGATGTACTCACAAATTCTGTATCTGTCCACATTCTAAGTCGTTCCACTTCTCCTGATCGCCGATTCCGTCGGATGTTAATATTGTCCATTTCTTGAAGTACAGCTTCAGCAGTACTGCAGTCACAATCACACCAGGGTTCAGACAGGGCTCTTCAACAACATGTAAAGCAACTCATCTCTGATACGTAACTGCATGATACTCCAAGTGAATTCTCTCAGCACCAGTATCCATCAGAAAACAATGCCCAATTAAAAAAATAAACTAGAACGTCTTCTCTTAATATTTTTATTAAAATAAAAAATATAAGGCTCCAAATAAATAAATCAATCCATAATATCACCATAAACAATTACTAGATCCCTGGCACTGAAAACTAGTTCAATATATAAAAAACAAAACAATTTATAAAAGGTTTAAAGGCAAATAAGGCTAACTGGACAGATATTTTTAAAATTTGGGCAGAATACTGAAAGCCAAGAAATGTATGCTAACATCTTAACAATTTTTACCTTATGTTTTTAACAAACAACAAACATTTCTATATTATGTACTGTATGTTCAGATCCAGATCTAAGTAAACACTAAGTTACACCTCAACCTTGGTCGACTGCTATCCTGTGTTATTTCCAGTCCTGTCAAACAGGAAGACACCGACCTCCCTCTCCAGGTCACTGCGACCACTGTTATGACCAAGAAGGATGATGTGCACTCTGGTTTCAATGTCCCCCAGTGTTCAGATGCAGGAAATCCAATCCCCAGTGCAATACTGGTCAGAGCCGGGACTTTCAAAGGTTATTAGGTCAAAGTACACGCCCTTGCAAAGGGACTGAGGTGGTTACCCTAAGCTGCTCATAATCAGGAGGAGTTGAATGGAGCCCCTGATCCCCTCCTGTCCTCTTCCTCTCTCTTCCCTATGTTCTCACCCTGCGACACCTCCCCCATGTTACAATGCAACAACAAAGCCCTCAACAAATTCAGGCCCTGTAGTTCTGACTTCCTAGACTCCAGATAGAAATCGCTTTATAATTGTTCCCCCAGCCTGTGGCATTCTGTTACTGTAGCAGCAAACAAAGACAATGTATTATCTGAGAACAGAATTTCCTGGATGTAGATGCTGACCTGATCATTAGCTAGGCTCACTCACTAGTTAGATGACTCAATCCCACAAATACAGGCTCAATAGATGTGGCAGTGCACACCTGGAAATCCCAGCACTCAGGAGGCTGAGGCAAGAAGATCACTGCAAGTTCAAGGCCAGCCTGGGCTACACAGTCAGTTCAAGGCTATCCTGAACTACATATTGAGACCCTGTCTCAAACAAACAAACAAAAATAAAATAAAATAAAATAAAAATAATAATATAGGGTTGAAACAGCTTCAAGTCAAAATTTCCCCCACCCCACCCCAGTATGAGGGACTGAATCCAGGACCTGCATACTGAGTTACATCCCCATTCCTTTTCTGACCTTTTATTTTGAGAAAGGGTCTCACTAAATTACTAAGTTGCCCAGGTTGGGCTCAAATTTGTAATCCTCCTGCCTCAGCCTTCTTGAGTGATACAATTACAGGTGTAAACCACCAAGCCCAGCTTCAACTCAAAACCCTGACTAAGCAAAATTACTATATGTTATATATCAATGAGAATTAATATAGCTTAAAAACTATGAAAAACACAAATACTAAATAAGCACACAGCAAAGGACTATAGTAGTGAAGTTCAAATAAAATTACTTTTATATTATCTAACTGCACATGAGCTAAAATAGGAGAAAATTTTAGCTATTATACAAATTATATTAAATCTACTAGCCTGACTAAAGAACTATTTTTGCCAGCTATTGTTAAGTTTTTTTGTTTTTTTGTTTTTGGTACCAGGGACTGAAGTCAGGACCTTGGGACTGCAAGGCAGGCATAGCACCACTGAGCTAAATTAAATGCCCAGCCCTACTGTTGAGTTTTAAAAGAATTGTATTCATTGCTAAGTCAGTGCTCAAAATATTTTTTAAAATACCGCTGGCTTTAAAAAATAAAATAAAATGCTGGGGATGTAGCTCTGTGGCACCAAGCCTGCCTGGCAAGCACAAGGTCCTAAGTTTGATCCCTGGTACAAAAATTATTTAATTAATTAAAATAAAATAAGATAACCTGCACACTGTAAAAATATTCATACCAGGGCTGGGGATTTAGCTCAGTGGTTCCGCCGCCTGCCCCACAAGCACAAGGACCAGAGTTCAATCCCCAGTACCAAAAAAAAAAAAAAAATTCATACCTATTCACTAGTTGATCAAATAGCAAACTCTGGTTCACACTCTCAAATCTGTTCTTCCTGGAACGGCAGCTTTTCCTAACTCCCATGTCACCATTAATGCAAGAAAGGTCTCCATCCCCTTTCTTTTCCCCTCGAAGGGGATGGCTTCGGAGGGCTACAGGAAAACAGAGGCATTTCCATTTCAACATACAATATACCAAAACCAAGAAAACAAAACACAAAATTACTTTTAAAAGACTACAAAAGTTGACCATAACTTCTTAATGGCTTAAATACTCAATTTAAATTTTCCATAGCTGTTTTATCATGTCGTATTTTAAATTATTAGTTATACTGATTTCTCAAAATTTAATAATTACGTACATTTTTGCAATGACTAAAATCTATCCAACTGTATGCTGTGCACAGTATTAAATCACTCTACTTTTCTCCACGTTAATGCTTAATCTAACACCAATATAAGATTTAAATACTGAGCAGTTTTGTAACAGAATACTCACATAAGCTGCTATGTCCGTTCGGTAATGCAGTGCCAGGCTGAGAAGTTAACCTAGAACACAGTTATATTTAACACTCAAGCATAGTGGCATTTGTTTAGATAAGCAAGAAAAGCAATACTGCTGGACTTATTATTTTAATCTTTAAAATCTTGGTAATAATAAATAAAATGTTGGAAATATAGTATTTTTACAAGATAAATTTATTTCACCCTAAGATTGGTAATGTATGAATTAACAGAATATACTGTCATTTGATTCTTTCAAGAAAAGCTTTCATAACAGATTATACACTGAAGTCTTTCTGTCATCAACTCTATGAATTACAACCCCAGGGAAAAGACTAAAGCTTAACAGGCAGCATAGATTTAAGTGAGGCATTAAGTAGCCTGCCAACACATAGTATCTAATGGTTTCATTTGACCAAAATAAATAAATTTCAAACTAAGATAGTTTTAAAATAAATTATTTTCTTTCTTTTTTTTTTTTTTTTTGGTACCAGGGATTGAACTCAGGTCCTTCTTCTTGCGCAGCAGGTGGTGAATCCACTGAGCTAAATCCCCGGCCCTGGTCCATTTTTTTGATTCCAGTTTTCTTCTTCTGTGATATGAGATGGGTGGAATCATAGTTTACAGCCCTTTTAATCTGATTTCATTCACTAAGAATAATGCATTTAAAACCTGACTGCATTGTTCCACACATCAGTTCCTTTATACTGATGAGTAAAATTCCTGTTTGTAGATGTATCATTTGTTCATTCATTTAAACATTTTGTTGTTTCCAGCTTGTGGAATTTATGAAAGAAGCTGTTATAAATACTTGCATTTAAAGCTTTGTGTGTATGGTTCTTTGTCTCTGTTTCTTTTCTTTCTTTCTTTCGTTCATTTATTTATTTTTTTTGTGTGGTAACAGGGATTAAACTCAGGACCGTGGGTATACTAGGTAAGTATTCCACTGCTGGAGTTTATCACTAGTCCTTTTTAAAAAATGCTATTTTGAGACAGGGTTTTGCTAAGTTGCTTGGGCTGACTTTGAATTTCTGAATGCCCTACCCCAGTTTCCCAAGTAGCTGGGATTATGGGCATGCATAGCTTTTAAAAAATATTTAATTAACTAGCCTGTGAAGATGTAAGAAAGCAAAGAAACATTGGAAGAAATCAAATCTAATGAATATTTTGGGAGACAGGCTGAGATTGATAGAGAAGGAAACATTGTGCATTAGAACATGAATGAAAAAGCATGTTGTAAAGTTTGTCTATGTGAAGAACTTTTATTGCTAGGAGGAAGGTGGGGATGTAGACAGATTCTCAGAGGTTGGTGGGACCAGTTGTTGTACTGTCACACAGAGATACAATCCTACAGTGAGGTGCTGTGATGCATTAATATTTGTTGAATAAACAAAAAACTTGACCAATGTCACAGAAGTTTTTTTTTCTTAAATTCTTTTATTGGTACAGTTGTTTTTATTTAATTGAATTTAATATCAGGTGTTGATTTTGCCAGTATTCTCATTAAAATATACATAGTTTTGGATACGTGGCTTCTTTTTTAAAGGTTACAATTAAATAAATTTACCACAAACATTACATTAAAGATAATAAATCTTTCTTTGTTGAATCTAAATTATGAAAATTAACATTCAAACATACAGCCCTGGTGGTAAATGGCACGGATGAGATGTTGTCCACCTAGACACCTACTGAGTTTCCTGCTCCTCTCCCCAGGAGTCCCACTTCACTGGTGGTACCAGCCCTCTTCCCTTCTCAAGACCCACACACTTCTAGGTGTTCTGATGCCCTACCCTCCTACCTACTGTGTGACTGAGGTCATCTCTAGTGGGAGCTCCAACTATTCCACTTCTTGCACAGAATTTCCTTCCTTCCTTCTTTTCTGCTCATGAAGCCCTGTGTAGTGACTATACAATTTCTCCTTCAAACCAGGATACTTCTGAGAGTAAAAGGAGACACAAGGACGTGACACCCTAGAACTGTACACATGGAGTATCCCAGAACTGTCCTGGGCAAGCTGGAACTGTGGCCACCATGGCAGGAAATGACTTTCCTTGCCAAGGGTACTGTGCTACCTTGTCATAGTTTTCTACAAAGAAATCTGAAGTGTTTACTTAGTTGAATATATATCAATCTCTTCCTCTGGGATTTCTGCATTTAGTGACATTGTAGAAAGCGCTTTCCTTCCCAAACAGCATATGAATATTTTCTCTTAATGTTTTAATGGTTTCATTTATATATATTATAAATTATAACTGAGTTTAAAATTTGGATCTAAAGGATTCTCTCTTGAGGAAAAATTGCTGTTTCACATTAGTTTATATTTAAATATATGAATTATATGAATTGCTAAGTTTACTAAGTTTATTATATATTTATTATATATTTTAAAGCTCTTTAAATGATTTTTGGCATGATGTGGATATTTAATTTCAATTTTGAACTATTTTTACAGTGTACAAAATTGATTTTGAATAATTCATCTTTACCTTGGTGATCTTAAATATCTTATTTATCAAGTTAAAACTTTTATAAATACTTGGATACATTTCTAGATTTTTCATTTGGTTCAATTATTTTCTTTGACTATTCTTGCACTGTGTATCATAATAGTATACTTATTACATTTTAAAATTGTTAATTTATGGAAAGATAGATTTCTCCTCATTGCTTTTTTCACAGTTTTTTGTCATTGTCAAACATTTATTCATCCAAGTAAACTTTAAAATAATGTTTATTAAATTTCACAAAAATTCACTAAGCACTTTGAAGAAAACTGCATTACATTTATAGATTAATACAGTTATAATTCACCTTTAATGAGATTAAAGCTTATCTTTAAAGTCTATGGTAATCCAGAGGCGAATTGACATAATCTTTATTATCTTACTATGAGTTTTTTTGGGGTTTTTTTTTGCTATGGTTATTAAGGTCTCTGATATATTTCCTATATAGGTTATTCAACACGCTTTTTATTTTTGCCATTTTAATGGAATATTATTTTCATTATATTTCTAAGCTGATTTTTACTTTGTGGGAAAGCTATGCTTTTAGTATACATATTATTGAAAAGAGCCAACTCATTTAAGTTTCACTCCCATACAGGTTTTTCTCTTGAGTTTTCCTGGTAGCAAAGAGTCTGAAAAAGGGTGATAATTTGGACTCTTCCTTCCCATACTCATTTCATTACCCTTATTTAGATATACTTTTGTCTCACATGCTGCAAGTGTTTCCTATTACTTCTCCTTACCCCTGTTACTCCTCATTCTAATCTACTTTAGATATTGCTGACAGGTCTAACTGCTCCTTCTAACATTTATTCACTTATTTAGCAAATCCTTGTTGAGCACCCAGCCTGTGGCAAGCAATGTCATTAGTGAATAAAAGGATATAACCTCTGCCCTGTATACTTTACACCAGGATGGAAGAGTGACAGATGTTGAACACACCAACCAAAAAGGAAGCACATTGTTATAAATAGTAGTGAGTTATTTAACCAGAACGACTAGGCATAACGAGCAGAGAATTCTAGGTCAGAGATTTCCTAAGAGGACACAGCTTTGGATTGTGACAGGAAAGAGTACTAGCATTTGGGCAGGGGAAAAGTAGGAGAGTGTGCCTGAATGACGGAAACCAGGTACAAAGACCCTAAGGCAGAAGAGTGCATGGTTCTTCTGGGAAATTGGAGAGATGTCAGGACTCCCAGAGCATTGAGTTAAGGATGGGTAGGAAGGAGCTGGAACCAGGCTATCTGGTCATTCCAAAAATGTGTTTTTTCCTAAGTGCAATGGGGGAGGGTCATCAAAGACAACAAAGATGGGATGGTATGTTTAACATTTCAAAAGGCTCTTCTGTTCTTGAATTAACCAGTCATTTAATCAACTATAAATTTGTATTTACTACTTATACCCAAGTTTGGTGGTTCTCCAGTAAATATTATGTAGCAATTAAAGATTAGTCCTTATTAAAGACTTGTTGACTTATAATCAGCTTTAGGAATTCACTGAACATTTATTGAGCCACCTGATCTCTTTGAACCATTAGGATAGCTCTAGGGATATAGATATATAAAAGAAAGGAGTCTGTGAAGGAATTCACACCTGAAAGGGGAGAAAGGGAGCACAAAATATAATTAAAACTAGATTTAATTTGAATCATATTCTAATAGCCTACAGAATCAGAAGGGCTATAGCTCTGCCATAGCTCTGCTAAGGATAGAGATGCAAGAAGGAGGCAGGATATAACGAGAAGAGGACAGAGTCCCAAAGGAAGTGATGTTGAAATTGAATTTTTACAATTAAGGCTCTTAGATGTAAAAACCATGGACTAAACAGAGTGCAGTGAATGTCCTTCAGAGGCATGAAAAAGAAGTTATTTATTCACAACAATGATAAACACTTCAGTAGGCTAGATTTTAGAGAGAGTAGGTGAGAAAATAGAAGTAAATGAATCTAGATATGAAAGTAGTAGTGTAAAAGAGGAAAGAAACTGTGTCCTTGAAAAGAAATCTGTTTTATCTAGGAGGAAATAGGTATCACTGAGGGATTCTAAGTAGATACATGACATGATCAAATTTGCTTTTATAAAAACATAAATCTGGTGGTTAGAAAGAGATATGAGACTGTTATGATGGATGGAAATGGGGAGCCAGGAATGTGGTGGGGGACACAAATGAGGAGGAGAGAGGTGTGAGCAATGTCAGGTCTGAGAACAGGTCTTAGGAGAGGAAGAAAGGTAGAAGGAGCCAGAAGGAATCCAAAGTAAGTGGGAGAGTCATCAACTCTAATGCATTGTGTAGTTGATTTGGGAGAGCAAAGGATGAGTTCATCTGGGAATAAATTGGCTCAAGGCAAGTTTATACAGTTTTTTTCCCATAAAAGACCAGATAGCAAATATAGGCTTTTGTAAAGTCCAGCAGTCTCTGTCACAATTACTCAACTCTGTCTTTGTAGGGAGAAGGCAGTCATAGACAACATATAATGTAAGTGAATGGGCATGACTGCCTTTCAATATATGGGGAAGGATGGGTTTTATTTGGTCTACAGGTTGAAGTTTGCCAATCCCTGG